ATATATACAAACGCTGGGCAAAAAGAGACAATTGCAGTCATGATATTAGAATTGATCCTGGGGTCTGGCCACAACCCTAGGGACCTAGTTTCTGAGTCACAGCTTGGAAACGGTTGAGATCCCCACCCCATAACCATACATAACATTGCAGGGGATAAAAAATCAAATGCAGATATGCTACAAGGATGGGACTTGGGGTCTGGCATATTCCTTTGGATCTCATTTGGAGAATATTTTGCCATGATTGCTTCGATATCCAGGTGAGCGATACAGGCCCTCTGGGCCTCTTGTTTTGCTGGAGTTATGGCCATTCGCACATAGGAAATTATCAAAATAAACTTTTTTTTGACTTATTTCGCTACCGCTTGCCATATCAATTTGAAACTTTGTTTGTGGCTTTATCATAACAGATTACAGAGTTTGAACCATGTATTAAAATTCCATTTTTGACTTGAGTTATGGCCCTTTTGTACATAGGAAATTCTCATAACTAACTGTTTTCCATATTATTTGCAACTTAGTATACATGTATAATTGATTACAGTGTGAGTTAGAATCCAGGGTCCATGTTCTATTTTTTTCTGGAGTTATAGCCCTTTGCACATAGGAAATTCTTATATGTAACTGTATTATTTCCGTCAACACATGCACTTCCTTCGAATAGCAGTTTTCTTCTATAGGTGACACCCGTCCTCATATGACCCTGGCTGTTGCGAGGACACAAATCACCTGATACAGTACATTCTTTGAAGTCCTTCTGTATGGCTTGCTGATGTTTTCAAACCAATGGTCTGGACATTACTTGATTAAGAAGACTGAATGCCGTTTAGCAGAGGGTCTCTCTCATAATACACTGGCTCCCTAGGGTGAGGAGTGGGGTCCCAAAGGGAGATTTTCCAATTCAATTACACAATTTGTTGTTAGGAACCCTGCACATTATTTAGTAATCAGATTTTACGTCTGTCTGTCTTTCTATCTGTTTTTAACTCACCTGCCAAGGACAAGTGAGCTTTTGCCCTGGTCCGCCGTCCCGTCGCGTCGCATCCCGATTCAATGTAAGCACTTAGCAACTTCATTCATTGACAGATTTTGGTCAAACTTTATACAAAGGTCAAGTATGGGTATACTTCGGACATCTTTGTATTTCAGGGTTCCAAGGTCAAGGCCAAGGTCACATTTGCTATATATAGAAAAGCATCCCGTCCCGTCGCGTCCAGTCTCGATTCAATGTTAACACTTAGCAACTTCATTCTTTGACAGTTTTTGGTCAACTTTATACAAAGGTCAAGTATGAGTATACTTCATAAATCGTTGTATTTTAGGGTTTCAAGGTTAAAGTCAAGGTCACACTTGCTACATATAGAAAATCATCAACTGATTCAATTTAAACACTTAGCAACTCCATTCGTGCATGGATTTTGGTCAAACTTTATGCAAAAGTCAAATATGGGTATACCCTTGTGTTTCAGGGTTCCAAGGTCAGGCCAAGGTCACTGTTGCTATATATATATAGAAAATCAACAACTGATTCAATTCAAACACTTAGCAACTTCATTCGTGCATGGATTTTGGTCAAACTTTATGCAAAAGTCAAATATGGGTATACCCTTGTGTTTCAGGGTTCCAGGGTCAAGGCAAAGGTCACTGTTGCTATATATAGAAAATCATCAACTGATTCAATTTAAACACTTAGCAACTTCATCCAATATGTTATGGAGATGGTAATAACATACCGAAAAAACATGAATATTAAAGTCAACTTATCAACTTTAAGTGTAGAACCATGTGTGTGTGCATACATTGACTTTATCCAGTGTAATAAATGTTTGCTTAAGCTTTTGGATGGCTTTTTAGCCTTTGATATCAAAGGTCAAGGTCACTAACTATAAATAGAACATCAGTTTGTGCACTGTTTTTCGAATTCTGTTGGGCTGATTACACTCAGATTTTATTGAGTCCTTCCTGGAAGAAAGTACTGCTTGGGATAACTTTTCAGGTCCAGTGGTTTAGGTCAATGGGTCACTATAACTAGAAAATCTGTTTAATGCACTAATGCACAATATCTTGATTTCTCTTGGGCTGATTACACTCTTGACTTTATACAGTGCTTCCTCAAAGAAAGTGCCTGCTTGGGATAACTTTCCAGGCCCGGGGGTTAGGTCTCTATCACTGTTACTATATGAATAGAAAATCAATTTATAAAATGTACTACTTATATTTTGAGTTCTGATTGGCTGATTACACTCAAGACTTTATCCAGTGTTTTTATCAAAAAACCCACTTGCTTTCACTAGTGTCTGCTACATGTATACCTAACCACAGTTTCTTTTAAATCTTCAATAAACATACTTGTGGAGAATAGTCACGGCGGCATTTAATATATATATATATATATATATATATATATACATCTTATTACCGGTTAGCTTGTAATGATAATAATAATAATAATAATTCGAGGTTCTTATATACCTCTCTATCACAACCTAGTTCGGAGGTCGTCTCAAAGCGGTTCACAAATTATTATCCGAGGTTATAGGGCCTTTGCAACCAGCCACTATCTTTCTTAACTTCCTTGGGAGCATACAACCGGAGCTGCCATTTCGGCGCTAACAGCTAGCATTCAACAATTCTAGCACTGCCCAACCACGTACTCATTTAAAGTAAAATATCTTGATCAAAGATGCAATATAGAGCCGTGCCATGACTCGAACCCATAATCCGTCGGTCATGAGCCCGGCGCCCTACCACTAGACTACCGTGCCTCCATAATAATATAATAATATATAAAATAATAATAATATAATGCAGACGGATTCATGGCTACCGTATTACATCATGTATTAGCACAGAGAGCTTAACACGTCACCGACGGGAGGGAAAATCGACTTTTTTCCGTGCTGTCAAAAATATCCTATTAAAATTACAGGCTTGTTGGCGCTTTGATTCTGATAAACAAAATGAAAAACGTCAGCCATTCTGAGGTTGCGTGAAGTCATCATCTATTGCTCTGTGTTTAAACTTTAATGTTTGCGTGTTAGATGAAGTGAATTTTATCATTTTATGTAGGTCACCTGACGAACTAGGTTAACAAAAGACACTATTATTCCTCAACAGATACTAGGTTACTGACCCTCTTACATTTGTTTTATAAGATACAAACAACTTTATTTAATTTTGCATACATTTAAACAAAGAACAAAGCACATGGCGACAAACATATGTAAACAACAATAGCACATTAAATTACAAGTAAAGGGAGATAATAACTTATATAAGTAAAAAGCAATTAAAATGATTAATACAGAAAAAGAAGTATGATATCCCAGGTTTCTAGGTGATTGGGAGTCCCTTTCTTATCAAGGCCCCCGGGATATGACACTTTTGATACAATACATATATAAAAATAGTGTTCCTATGAAAAGCCATAAATGTGATCACATATGTAACTAGTATTAATATTAAGGTAATAAGGACATAGATAATAGTGACTGAATACTTGTATATCACACAAGAATTACTTCGGACTTAAAATTAAAACACCATCAAGTTGAATATGCATACAATGCTAACATAGCAAAGTATAAGAATTGACAGAATATACACTAATATAATGTGAAATTAACAAAAAGACATTAGTTATTTAGATAAATATCAGTGAATAATAACTCACCTGTATAAGGCTAGTTGTGTTGTCAAGCAAGACAGAATTGTTATATACAATATCAGTTTAAAATAAATACGATTCAGTTGGAAAGATGCAACCAACGTTCTCCCAGATGAGAAAGGTAATGGGATCTGTCCCCATGCTGGGACATACCAAAGTCCTTAACATGGAAGTTGTTATTTCCTGCTTAACATTCAGCATTTAGAGTAATGACAACAACCTGCCCACTCACTGTCAGTAAAATGTCGGGTTACTGTGCTGGTTGCCTCTGGCACGGTATTTCAGTGAGGTATCACTCTAAAGTCGACATCAGAACAGTTCTATCTTAGAGAGGCAAATACATCAATATTCCTTGCCCCAAATATACAAACACATACACTCATACATAACACACATGAAAGCACGTCTATTAGTGATGTTAGCTGTTGATAGGACGTTAAACCAAGTGTAAACAATCATTAGGCTTGGTTCGGTTTACTTGTTTGTATTTTCCGCCCTATTAACAGGTTGAGGAAAGACAGGAGAGATAAAACCCACCGACCTACGAACCGGCGACCAAGTGGTGGAGGGCAAGTGATAGCAGAATGTTAGACGCTTTAACCACCTAGCCACCGCGACAATTAATCAGCCTATCAGCAATATTCGGTCATAGTACATTATTCATCTGACATAAGGTTATTTGATGACAGACTATTTTTTCAGTAGTTAATTTCGTTGATCGCTTGTTACGATAATTGATTTTACTACATAAGTAATTTAGGTTGCTGTTAGTGAGTAATGGCGTTACCTTCATAAGGTTGTGTTGGCAAGCAAGGTATGCGAGCGCTAGATAGTGCGGCATTGTTATTGTACAACATCAGTGTGAAAATGAAAAATATCTTACCTGGAGTGATTTAACCCCTTTCAAAGATAAGATCAATACAATTTGTATCTGACATAAGTAAACTTGACTAAAAGCATTTTTTTCAGTTGTTGATTCTGTTCATCATTTGTTATGGTACATTCAGCAGGTGTCTCTTATCTTGATATTTTATCAATTGCCAATAATAAGATAATTTTCATCGAAGATATTAAAGTTGCCACATGAATGTACAATGCGGATCACCGATGCATGCTACGTCTCTATTAACATGAATTTTTAACGCTTACAATGATTCATAGGGGTGGTTACTGTATCCATGTGACGCGTGAGCAGCCTGTTAGTCTATAGGATACCTGAATCCAGTGACCTATGCATCGTGGCAAGGAAGTCAACATCCGTAGGTTCACCGGGAAATAACAGGACAGGCTTATTGTCCTTGGCAACAAGGGGCGTGGCCAGGATACGGACATCCTACACTGTTAATCCAAACCGGATGTAGAAGTACGACCCCCTGAACTGTCGGTTTGAAAACCAATAGGTTTTTAGGATTGAATCGGGTTCCGGGATAGTTTGGTCGTTGGAAAATTGTCTCAACACCGTAGTAATCACACGCGCTATGACGTCATTAGAAATTGTTTCTATCTCTTTGCCATCCTCTCCGCATAGCCAAACGTCAAGTGTATTAGGGTCGGCTGTCAGGGAGTTGAATATGTACAAACATTAAGCCCAACTTGGTAAATTCGTGTTTTATTCAATAGTGTCGTTTCTCCCAGATAGTTTCATTCCTTCATTTTGGCTCAAGAAAGGTGTCTTGTAGCGAAGAATGATCTTACTGGCTGTCCCATATTCCAGCTTCAATTTTAACACAATCATTACAAATGGGAGGCTAGGATTAAAAAGTATCTGGTGATATTGAAGGACGCCTAGATAATTTGTAACGATCACGTGACTTGCTTTGTACATTATTGCACCATTTTCTGACTCGATGTTTATCACTTTCGTTTTGAGATGAATTCTTGTTTCGGTTACCATATGTGCCAGCCTTGGTATCAACGCGTAATAACCGCCTTTCAAACTGATGTTGTTGCCAGGGGTAATGCTATCGGGTATAAACACTGTTACATCTTCTAGTGCAGCACCGTGATTTTCTTCCTCCACCTTTGTAAGAGTTCTACAGATATCCTTTATCCTTGAACTCATTTCGATCATTATCGGGGAGAGTTTCCACCACCTGATCCAAGCGGTACTGTACTGTACTCAAGAATGCTGGGGTAAAGTGTTAGAGAGGATACAGACAATTTATTTACATAGAGCTCTTGATTTTCTTACTAGTTTCTCATAACACTTTGTTCCATTCGAGCCCACATACATTCCATGATATCTGAAATGAGAAATACAAAGTATTGAAAATGGAATTTGGCAAGTTTTCATAACTTCACTTTAACAGCATGGTATATTACATGCAACGGTTATGTCTTCAAATCTTAAAAGAAAGGCCATGCTTGTATTTTTTCATGTATAATTGACAAGGATCGATATGGATTCGTTCCATTTGATCATTCATAACATGAAATTGAACAATCTAACTCCTTATGTGTTCTATCATTGTTTACATACGATAATTGTTTCTGGCCCTACACGATGAAATACATATGTGCCCCTGGCAGGGAAAAACTACAGTCCAGGTACATTTCACATGTGTCGATTAAGGTCGTTTAAAATATACCGAAAAGAACATTTCTAATTTTAAGAATGTATAGAAATAAAGATATGCTTATAAATGTGGGTAGAATATAGAAATATACGTAAAAATCAAGTTTATATGTTTAAAGACGAAACCTTATATACTGTTAATGCATTCCGCAGTTTACACCAACCACGAGTGTTATCGCGCAACGTTCGTCCAAAACGCACATCGTGTAACGTTGTGCGACCCCACAACTGTGTATCTCAAACTAGAATCTCTCTTCATGTCAACGATTTTTTGTTCTTCAAGGCACTGCTTACATCACCTCGCTGAAATGTCATGTCGAAGGCACCCAGCACAGCATTCCGCCCGGTCATGTTATACTGGCAATGAGTAAATCAATCATTGGCATTAACCTAAAAGCTAAACGGTATGCAGGGAATGAGAACTACCATTTTTAATGACTTGGGTATGCCAGCCTTGGGATTTATTTTGGTTGCATTTTATTTCCAAGTATAGGGAACAAAAGCAATTCTCCAATTATGCAGAGGGTTTCGACATTAGTCGCCTCTCACGATACATGCAATGTTAAACTGCAGATGTGTTATTTTCTTGATCACGACATGCAGGGGTGACGGTCAGGGGGAAGGGGATTCTTTTACTTATTTCAGCCTTTTACCTGTTGTGTTGCTGGTTGTTTAACCGAAACGACATTTCTTCTGGTAAGTACTGTTAACAATGGGGAATTGCAATGTCGTTATAGATCAATGCTACGACACATGAAAAGGACACGGGGGAGAACGTGTGAGCACTGCAGAACTACCCAAATTAATATTTCATTCTACTTATCTTATTTGGAAACACATAATTATAGATGAGCAATGGGGAATTGCAATGGATGTATAGATCAATGCTACGACAGACTTGCCGGAGACATGCAAAGGACACGGGGGAGAACGTGTGAGCACTGCATAACTACCCAAACGAATATTTCATTCTGCTTATCTTATTTGGAAACACGTAACTATAGATGAACAGATGGTATCACTTATCTACAAGACCGACACACGTTTATCTATTTATTTATATGTAGCCGGGATATTCGTCATGGTGAAATGTTAGTCTCTTCGGAATAGTCTTTCGGCGTAAAAAAATGTGTTGTCTGGTTTGGTTTTATTTTGTTTAACGTCCTATTAACAGCTAAAGTCATTTAAGGACGGCCTCCTCTGTGTGCAAGATGCATGCGTGTAGTGTATGTGTGTGTATTTTGTGAGGCTAAATGTGTGACGAATCACATGATACTGAGATTTGTAGCCTTGACTAATGTGACACATTAGCCGTAAACACACGTAATAGTTTGTAACAGCCATCGTTTATTCATTTTAAGTACATGTACAGGTGGTAACAACAGCTCATCTAGTTACAGTAATATGAACTTATAACTTCTTCGCGTTGTGTCTCAAACTTCAACCTAAGTTATGTAGGCTGTATCAAACCCATATCCCTCCAGCCTCTAAGACATAGACACTCTCCCTGGCAGCTAAGACCTATTCCTTCTGCCGGTCGAAAGCCATACCCTCCTCCCTCGGTCTGTTTCGCTCTACCCGTTCTGCCCTATTGTATCGTACTGTGTCGTGTTTATCTCCAATGTCCACGTAACCCAATGTTCCAATTCAGCTTAGGTGTGCATCTCTGTTCTGGTCAACACCAAACATGTCAGTCAAGTGTAGCTATCTCTAATTACAGGTTTGTGCAGATGTAGAATGTTTTGTTTCATTATACAATATCCCGATAACCCAATACACTAATATTAGATGAAACATGGATTTATGTTCCCTATACCGTGAACCCATGATTCTATGAATGCCTGGGATCATTGTCCGTGGCTTAATTACTCAATAGTCAGGCCTTAACTACTTATTTAGTCAGATAACACATCTTCAATCAACACAGCACCTTTGCAATACTCCCCTGCTGGTAAGTCTACCGTGCTGCATTCGTCCCTAAATCATATCAACATCTTTTATTTAAAATGTAAGTTAGGAAGAGCTAACTTTTGTCACACTGCATTCAATAACTTGTAACATTCACCTATAATAAATGTATTTTGGGATATGATAATGACAACCATAACCTACGGTCTTATTGGTTGAAATGTCACGTAACCGGATTTTATTGGCTTAACTCGTGTAGATATATAGCTTTGTTTTGTTTTAGTTTCCCACCCGTGTACAAACCTCCGCTAGCTGTGTTATGATATGACTTGGTAAGTGGTACTAGGGCCGGCTAAAACATTCAACATTCATGGATACCATGTTTCTTCTGTTTCGGTTGGATATTTTACTTTTACTTCAGTTTATTACTCAGATACAGTATGCTGAAAACATAGTTGAGATACCATTTGAAGGTCTGCTTCCTTTACTAAGTCAAGAGTTCCTCAGAACGAACTTGCCGACACTTTATCAGTGTATTGAGCTGTGTGTGGCCTACAAATTATGCCGGAGTCTCAGATTTAAAAAAGGAATCTCGGAATGTGTTTTAAATTCAGACGATCATGACAGACAATTGTTGTGGCGTTTCGGTGAGGTTATACCGACAATGAAGAAGGAAAACGTTGCGCAGGTAAATATTATATGTATATTTATCACATAATGTACTGTGTTATCCATTGAATATACCCATTTTTCCGCGTATTAGCCCAATATGTAAAATGACCTATCAGTCCTGTGATTGGTTTTAATTTTCAATTGTTTCAATTGTGACGTCACTCCTAGGACAAATACATGATGTCACAGATTTACCCACTGGAGTCAAAATGGCATTTTTTTTTTAATTTTCAATATTGCATGAAAAGTGACGTTTTACACGAATAAATGCCACAAATCTTGATTAAGTGATAAAAAAATAGATTTTACACTCGTTTTATTGCCTATGAGATTTATGGATCTCGTCAAGAATATTTCATTTTAGCTCGCTAAATTAAAAAAAAATCAAAAAAAATCGTTTCAGCAATCTCATAAAATGGAAACTCGTGTAAGATCCTATATGTATATTTGATCAATTGTATATATATAGTCAGGAACACAAATATTTTATCAAATACTTAAAGGTGACAACGATATTGATAATTTTTTAAATTCGAAACAAAAATCATAAAAGCTTGCATGTTTTTGAAAACAAACAAAACTACGTACATAAAAAATAACAATGCAAAATTAGATAAATTAGCTTGGAAGATGATAATAAGACCAGGGTATCAAAAGTTACCCACAATTATCAACAATTGAATCATTGAAGAATATATTAAAATGCAGCGAATCACACTCCGACTGTCTTGATCAATAGATAGTTTCATTTTTACCTGCAACAACACATTTCATTTCAACCTCTTCTTTTACTTTTAGCTTGTAAAGAGATGAAATGGTCTGTGTTACGCAAAAAGGACATTTTTTTCTTCCAGTTTAATGTATTTGCTTATTGAAGGTTTTCATAACTGTATTTCCAAAGGACTGATCAAGCTTGATGCATATTAATTGACAATACATGTATTCTTTATTTCGAGATTAATTGGTTTATAGTTACTACCCAAAATAGCCGAACAGGGATAACAGAAGAAAAGGTAAATTAGAAATAGATGTGTTACCTGGGTGTCAAGTTTAAGAAACATTCTTAAAATCATCCCCGACACTTCAGGGGTTACGCTTACGTATGTTCTCTGCACCCCTGGGTTATGTATTAGTGAAATCAAATGCTCAGTGTGCACCACATTGTGGATGAAACGAGAAGACTTGTTTGAACCTTTGATGTACATCAAAAGAATCTGTCGGTCACGTAGCGTTAAACAAATTGACTGGCTTTGAAGTCGGGTTTCGCTCCTCTTTAATCTTCAATGGACAGGTATCAGCCTTAGCGATTGGTCAGGTTTTGTTTGTACCTCAGGCCAAGTGTATGAATAATTGGAGTTATTTCAATTATATGTGCAAAATGCCTGTCCAAAAAAGTGATGGAAAGAGTGTACCCAAAAGGTGAGGGCATAATACACCTTCCTAACGTCCACCAGAAAGTAATGCACCTGATTGCAGGTAATTGGCAATTTGTTGCAAGTCTACAACAATCCTTTCAATGCATGCTAGGTTACACAAAAATACAAATTCAGATTTGCTTCATCGCTTGGCGTGATAAATATTTTTTGTCAACAATACATTTTGAGATCAAATGTAATACCCTTGTCACTTTTTAGAATTTGCTTTTACATAGCTTTTAGGGAATATTTCGTACTTGTTTATTAATATTCATCTGATAATAAAGAGTAAATATATTGTAAAAAGGTTGCCATCGTTTCCTCGAGAAATCTGTTAAATGTGAAGGTACAAGAAATGTAAAAAAAATCCACAATATAGATGGCTTTTTGATAACCAACTAAAAAGGCATAGATCCCTCAAATGAAAATGAAAGTATTTGTTTGAAGTGGTAGATAAGGTATCTGCCTAAAAGATATTATGAAACAGAAAAT